CACCCAAAAGTGGCAGGAAGAAAATGGTGTCCAGAAGTTTCCCTGGCCGAGCCAATCTCCTGACATGAACCCCATCGAAAACCTCTGGGCCATACTCGACCGGCAAGTCAAGAAACAACCAAAAAAATCAACTTCGAAGAGCGATCTACTCCAAGTTTTGAAGCAAGAGTGGGCAAAAATTCCACAATCTAAAATTGACTAGATGATTCTCACGATGCCCCAAAGGATCACCGAACTCCACAAAGCGAAAGGAAGATTTACTAGATACTAATTAAATTATAAATATATCAATTCATGTGAATATGACTGAAAAAAATCATTTTTTCTGAAAAGGTGGTGTCTATTTATTTGTGACCACGCTGTGTACATCATGACTCATTCTCGCTGTATTTCATCATACTAGGGTTAGGAAGATAGAGTACGGCTTATCGAACTGATTAGTGCTTTTTACTCAAACTTTAAAATAATGTTAATTCTCAGAAATGTCCTAAAATAGAATATGTTTAAAGGGGAAAAAATGAAATATTCCCTGACGTACTTTTAAAAATCAAAACCTAAACATGGTTTATAATTTCTCGTTTACAATTAATATTTTATTTTAGCCTATTACAACGTTTGTATTTGATTTTGACGATAAAGGTAATGTCATACAAATGAAGTAAAACCACAGCTTCAAATAATCTTGTTCTTTTTAAGTTTTCGTTTCGTGTTCTTTTGAAAAGAAAGTTATTTTAGACAAATACGTGTATGCTGAATTTAATAAGGCATCGTATGATGTGTACTTAAAAACCGAAGAAATAAATTTTAAACATATGGTTTTCTGGAGAAGGATATGCTACTCTATATTTTCGTAACCGGATTTTCCCATTTGTGAGTAAATCCCTTAAGGCAGTGGTTTTCAACCTTCTGACGTCAAGGTTGTATCACAGAGTTCGTTACAAAAAACATTACTGCAGTATTAGCAATTGTTTGTACCTGGTCACACTCACTAATTTAAAACAATGTACTGACTTGTTGTGTCATTATGAAACCAGTTATACTAATAAAGGAATATAATGTAATTGGATTGCGATTATGTGACTATTTACGTATTAGAATATGTGGAACTCTTGCATTCCGCGGAACCCTGTGGAACAATATCTCGCGAAACCCTTGGATGTCTGTCGAGGAACCCGAGGGTTCTGCGGAATCCCGGCTTGGAAGCAGTGCCTTAAGGTATAGTGACTCATTGAGGAGTGTTATGGGTTTTTATTTTATTTTATATATTTGATTATTCATTGTCTAGAGGGAGTTTTCTCTTCAAGTGCTGAGCCCGTGTCTTAAACTAAACACGAGTAGAGGATTGTTGATTGATTTGTGCGTCTGTTAAAGAGGTGGATTAGTTCTTGAATTAGTGAGTTTATTAGTCGTTTTGTTGTCACTTTAGTTTGGTAAATATTGTATTTGGGTTTCAACGAAGTACTAAAGATACAAAAAGTACCGTACATACGAGAAATTTGGTAAGTAAGTGGAATCTATTGTCAGTATCGAGACGTTATTTACGTGTGAAGTTAGGCCTATCGTTAATTCATGAAACAATGTAAATTGTAAAATTTACAGTATTACTATTACTAGTATTAGGATAAGTAAAATACTTTAGTTATTAAGTGGACTAGGATTTGCATTATTTCTTATCGAGCAATCAAATAAAGAACATGCCCACCAATAAAAACCGGTACAACAGCATAAAGCACAAATGGTCTGTTTCTTTTATTGGAGAAAAATAAATCTAAAGGCTAAAGCATAGTAATATAGAAAGTGCTTCCTTTAATAACTAGTTTTGTAATGCTGTGCTATAAAATAGTATAATTTCTTAAGCTAACGTGTTGTTTAATAAAAGAGCTGTGTTTGTTTTGTAAGTTTAGGCTCCTATTCAAATTTTTGTACCGAAATAAAATCGCAAAGCAATATGTGTACACGTTGGTAAACATAACGAAAAACGTAACTTAAACTTTCAGTGAAAGTAAGCGACTGACAGTTTT